TATATAATTAAAATATAAATGTTTACATATTTTATACTCACAATATTATGCTTTCCTTGCAGCCAAAAATATGTGTGAATATTACCCGGAACAAATGAAATTTCTAAAAAATTCCTATTTCATTTGTTATGTTCACAAGCCGAAAGATCGAAAGCGAATGAGCTCAACTACGAAACTGAATTCGCAGCTGAGAGGGCAAAGCCAGTTTCGATTCAGAGAACAAAATCGTAGCCAACTTTGCTTTACAAACTGTGCATGCTTTGATCGACTATATATATGTATACATATATATATGTATGTAAAAAAATTCATATATATATATTTACATACATTGGATTCATCGATTTACACGCTGCGTTTGTCCTTGTTCTCTCAGCTGCAGTTGCAGTCAGTTGGTAGGTCTCTTCATATATGTATATATATACCTGCTCCCTTGCCATGCCATGGGTAACTCATCAAGCACTGGTTGAAGCATACATTTCAAGGATATTATACAGACGACGACCAGTTTTCTTCACAGAAGCACATGCATTACGGAACTGTTCATTATCCATTAAGTGGATGCTACGTGGGTGCGAAATACGATCCACGAGGCTTGTGCGATTACTGATAAACTGACTCAATTGGGGCGTGGCATTGACGACCACCTGCGTCGTCATTTGCGTCAGTACCACAAATAATGCAATCACACCCATCGCCCCAATACATCTGTGGGCAATCTCCATGGCGGGACGTGTTTCTCCTTTATTATCTGCGGGCCAACAGAGCCAAACAGCCAAACATTGCCTAGAACTAAAAATTTTGTTAACAGAGCCAAAGTATCGAACACTTTTTGATTATGAACTCAAAACGTTTATGCATCGTTATCCAAATGATTTTCGATTTCGACTCGTGTTTCGTTTTTTTGCTCCGGTGATGTTTGGCCGCCAAAGTGCATCATCACTTCGATAAATTCGCCAAAGAGAAAGCAAAGCCTCAGCCATATCCGTATCAGTGCATCCTCCATAGACTCAGCATTCATGGTGGGTCCTTCTTCAACCTGAGCCAGCGACAGCGACTCATGAACCTCTCCGATGGCACTACGCACAGTCTGCATTATGAATATGTAACTTATCGCTTTGCTCTAATAAAAATTTCAACGATGATGGCGACCGGCAAAATCTGGACCACACGCTTTTTAACCTTATCTAAATTTGAACTCAATACATTGTTCAATAACAACCAAATGATAATGAGAATACGAATATAGACATTTTATAGATGTTGTAGAGAGCAGCGCCGACTTGATTCAAATATCATTACTCTTCACCAGACTTGGCCAGCAATTTGAATTGAAGCATCCTATATCCTATATAAATAATCACAATCTCCTATAAATAAGTAAAGACATAAATCAAACTCGCAATTTGGTTCTGAACATCTTCTGCTTTATTGTATGTTGAGCAATTTCGTATAAATTTGCCCATTGAAAACCTATTTCATGCTCTTCGTAGTTTCGGCCTCTTTTGGAACGCAGCAACGCTGCCTCTCGTCATTGTTACCCTTGCAGCGATCGGGCCATCCGCACGGCACAAAGCCCGAAAATATACCAAACGGACAAGGGCCACATGATTGGTCAGGATACGGGCCAACGTAGAAGGGATTCATGTACTCACTCTTGGGGCCACATTGCTTGCGAGGCATATTGCCGAGTATGTAGTAAGAGCTGGAATAGATTCTAGAAGTTTTCGGTTAGCTCAATGTCAACTTTGGTATTTTTGTTTATTTTTTACTTACTTCAATTTGGGCAAATTTAAAATGCCTAAAACTAAAAGCTGTTCAGTTGGAGCTACATTAGTGTTATGAAGAAAACCTGATTTCTCAGCTCCTCCCAAGCAGCAGCTCAGCTGCAAAGCCAACTTGATGTTTGAATTTGGCTCCTTGAGGAGTGTCTGGAGCTAAAAGGGTTCAAGGTTCCGTAAATTTGACATTGGCATTGGGGGCTCAGCTTTGTTGTCGTTGGGAACCTCGTAACCTCTGTTCGGCGGCATTTGGGTCTTCTCAGCTGCCGGGGAACAGCCGCCACAAGGTGCATTCGGTCCGGGACATGGCCCACACTCGGTATTCGGACAATTGTTCTCGCATGTGCAGTCCGTGTCGCAGCAGGGCGGATTGGGCCCAATGTAACCAGGATTGAACATAATAACCATTGTGGCGGCGTTCCCTTAAAGCTAAACCAGCTATCGATCAAAATCTTGCATACGTTAACGCATTTCAGACTTACCTTCAGAGGTTATTGAAGCAGCTTGGGGCTATTGTTGGTTTTTGGGTTGTTGTATGTTGTGTTTCGTGTTGTGAGTGTGGAGTGAATGGATTTTCCATTCACTTGACACGGCTGAAAATGTACTCAAATGACAGCACACTCAGGGCATACTAAAGTCAAATTTTAATAGCTGCACTGCAGACACATTGACCCAATCACAATAGCCCCATCTACCCATCTCCACCTCTCTCTCTCTCTCTCTCTCTCTCTCTCTCTCTCTCTCTCTCTCTCTCTTTCTATGTCCGCTTTGCGGATGCCAACACAATGCGTATAATTATTTCATAATCGGGCAACACTTCATTTATGGTGACAAAAGCCTGCAGATGTGCAAAGCCACTCCCCGGCGGCAGATATTGACCAGCCAATAAATGGCATAGACCATCAAATGGTTTAAGATGCGTCTCTAAATACCCTGCACACTTGTGAGATGCGAATACTATATAAATAAAATAAATAGTACAAGTATTTGCATGCATGCATTTATATGAGAGCCATGTAACTCAAACTGTAATTTATATTTATATATTTTATTTTAT